AGAGAGAGAGAGAGAGAGAGAGAGAGAGAGAGAGAGAGAGAGAGAGAGAGAGAGAGAGAGAGAGAGAGAGAGAGAGAGAGAGTACGGATTTAATCCAGCATGGTGGAATTGATTGCTCCTTGCGGCCATCGCTCCCTGCACAGCTTGGAAATGGTGTTTCTATTGATATAACAAGTGGCAGAAGAACTCGCTGCAGGTGTGAAGGCAGAAGATTTAGAGTGGATGATACGCTTCAGGATTGTGAGTTCTGGTGTATGGTGATCCAGTGAGCACGTAATGTACGGACGTTTGGGGCTGCCATGCCAGGGGAAAGTGAGGGAGGTGTGGCTTCTGATTGTTTTGTACGAAGGCAAGGTTGTTTTCTGTTCTGCGAGTCATCCTTGTTGTGCAGAAGCCATACATATGCCTTGCGCAGCTGAGGCCGTCTGGAGCAGTCTAAAACCATACTTCCTTACTTTCTTGGAAGGAGTATCATTAGCATCATTAGGAAGACAACTTACTTACTGTCTCAGGAGGAGTATCAGTAGCATCATTAGGAAGACAACGGGTGGCCGTACCGTGCGTGTTGATGGTAGAGCATTCGTGAAGCGCCGTAAGCGCTCGAAGACGAGGTCAAAATGAAGGGGTTGCATATGGAATTGAAGCAACTGACACGGGAGTCGAATGAGCTCGAGCAGCACGCAGCCAAGCTGCGCGGCGGAATCCAACGCCTAGGGCTGTCACACTCCGATGGCAAAGGCTTGAACAGTTCTCCCTCCCTGGCTGTTCTCCAGGTAGTTGACGTGCAATCGTCCAGTATTCATCCATCTTCACCTGTTGCTGTTGCAAACGATGGCAGCGAGCATATACCTCGATTCAGCAAATGGAATGGTCAAGGAGAAGAGGGTTTGACAGGTCAGACCAACAATCCGTCTCAAGAGGATGGACATGCGAGGCAGGAGGAAGAGCAGGAGCAGCATGAAGCAAGGGTTGGCGAAGGTGGGAAAATGGGGAGTTTGCATGCGGAGCTGTGCGCTGCAGAGCTCCGCGCAGCGTCATGCAAAGCGTCTGTGGAGACGACACGCCGTCTCCTTCATGCACATTTTGCAAATGAGCAGACGCTGGCGGGGGATGTGGAGGGATGTTGGCGAGGAGCGGGAGGTGTCAATGGAACCCCGACATGGGGGGGTGAAAGCGGTGCTGCAGGAGCAGCGGATCACCTCTTCCTTGTGCAGAACGAGCAGAGTGAAGCCCTTGCACAGGAGATGGAGAGGCTCTCGCACGACATGGGCAGACTGAGGATTCTCTGCTTAGAGATGGACAAGGCCTGCTCCATGTCGATGATGCCTGTGGAACCACCTCTGGCGGGCCCTGGCCCGGTGTGGCCTTCCCGTCTGGATGCACCAGGAATAGACCAAGCACTGAGAGCAGCAGCAGGACCAGTATCACGCACAGGATCAGGGATACGGCCAAGCCCAGCTGGCGATGCCAACAGCGGGGCGTTCGTTATGGACGCAGCAGTAACAGCAACAGCGCAGAAGGGTATCCAGGGAAATGCTGAGGAGACGATGCCCGTGGAGCAGACTACTGCAGAGGTTTCTATCTCCACCAAGAGGCCAAACCAGGACGGTAGGACAGACAATCAAAAGACCGCGGGAATTATTGTAAACGAGGAGCAGGCATATCATCATCAGCAGCAGTGGCCTCCGTCCAAGCCACACCCGCCGCCGGGAAATGGGCGGTTGCTGAGGTGTGAAGAGAACTTGGCTCTACGAGAGGGGGGGCTGCAACGGTCGTTGCCCAGCAGAGTGGGGGCGAATGGCGCAAGCGATCGAAGTGGAACAGGAGAATCGCTGCAGCAGGTGGGGCGAAGTACGGGCTTTTCCCGCGGGGACGGTAAAGCAGTGGGCGGAGGGGTGGAGAAGGTGTCCCTGCGATGGGGCGCCAGTAGCAGCCGGGACAGCAACACCAACAATCGCTGGAAAAGCATTGTGTGGGACCGACGCGACACACTGAGGAAGTTAGAGCAGTTGAAGAAGATCGTTGCATTCCTTCAGAGGAGGCAGAGGGAACTTGAAGAAAGGGCGGGTGCATGTCTTGCTCATGTGGATGGGCCGGAAGAGGAGAAGGGTCGATCTCCTGTCTTCCAACAGCAGCAGGCGGAACAACAGTTTTCCACACCTCTTAACCGCATGGACGGAGCTTTGCCCGCCACCGCTGTTTCCAACAACCAGTTGTTAGCTTTCACTGTGCGTGCTGATGAGAGAGAGAGAGAGAGCAATGCTGGAGAAGATGAGTCAGGTGAGGGGACACCGACTCCCATTATGCCATCCCCGGTGCTATTCTGCACGCAATGTGGAGCGTACTGCAATGCCAGCCGGATCTCCTACAGTCCTGTGTATGACGACGATCGTCTACGATCTCAATCGGAAGACGAAGCGGAGCATCGGCGGCGGCAGCAGAAACGCTTGCATCCACTGGGCAAACGTCCAAAGCAATGGAAATCCCAAGTGGAGGAAGAGGAGGGAGATGGGGGGGAGGGGAACGAGGAGGAGTGGGAGGAGGAGGGGGAAGGAGAGGACAGAGATACAGCAAACGGGGAACGGAAGACGATCGTGAAGAATGCGGCGTATTGCGCGGCAGTGCAGAGCTGCGAGGAGGGGCAGCGGCAGCAGCAGCAGGAGGAGCAGCAGCAAGAGGAGCAGCAGCGGGAAGGCGAGGAGAAATATGTTGTGAAACGGCTCGTCTTTGCTTCATCTCCCGCTGTGTCGCCAAATGAAAAATGGGACGAGCATTCTGTGCTTCAAGAAAAGATAGGAGACGACAGTGGAAAGACCACGAAGCAATTTGACACCTCTCACCAAGCAACATTGTGGGGGTCCAGGGGCCCATCTCGAGATCCTCCTGCTGAGCGTAAGCCAACCAAACGACGAACCAGAAAGAGCGATGAGGAGGAGGAGGAGGACGGGAAGGAGAGGGTGAGGTCCGTGGACTCGGACACACAGACTCCATTGCCTCCCTACAGCAGAGAGATCGCTGTTCAAGTATTCAAAGGAGTGTGGAGGGATCAATCTCCGACCGTGGCTGGTGGGGAGCCATTGGCGTCTTCTGGTGATGGGCCGGTGGTGGGGGACCACCATGTTGCTGCGGGACTCGATGCCGGGGACGATACTTTGGCTGCTGATGCGGAGTCGCTCGAAGATGAGCTCGAGCAGTACACCGTCTCAATCCAGGAGCTTGTTAAGTTACTTCGAGAGGAACAGAATGCTTTAGAAGAATCCAGGAGGAGGGAGGATGAGGCAGTCACTAGAATCTGCACATTGGAAGCGGAGCTCGACCGCGCATCAAGAGGTATGCTACGCTCGCTCCACAGCTCCACTCCGCCACATAATTCTTTCGTCTGTACTGTTGTTCAATCTTCTTTCCCCTCCTTTTCCTTCTTTACGCCTTACTCCTTTGCCTTCTGCTTTTGGATTCTTCCTTTGCCCTCCTGTACTACTACTGCTCTCCGTCCCCCCCCCCCCCYCCYCCCCSCCTTCTTCTCTGTCTAATCCTTTGCTCCTTCCTGTCCCCATGACCTCCTCCCCTCTTCCTAACCTCCTGCTTCTGGCTCGTTCAGTGCCCCTCCCTCTCTGCTCCTCCTCCTCTCCACAGCCTCCTCTCCTCCTCTTTCACTTCTCCCCTTCTCTTCTTCTCCTTTCCTCCTCCTTCCTCCTGCTCTTCTTCTCCACTCCTGCTTCCTCCTCCGCCTCCCGACTCAATCGTGCGCGAAGCTGTTGTTCCTTACCACACCCTGGTTCTCCTGCTTCCGCAACTCTTGGTCTTCTCTTCACAACCAACATCAGTTGAACGCTTCAAATTCCTATGCAGCAATGTGTGCTGGGAAACCGTTGCGATCAGTAGTCGTGCTTACCCGTACTTCTCGTACACGACTTGATGGAATGGAGAACGGAAGAACGATCGTTTCAATTTTCGTTCATCAGTTGGGCCCATTTCTCAGGGTCCGCACGAATGTCACTAGGGCAGACGATGTAATGGTAGACCGAAAACATACTCCCTTGTAGTGGACAGAATTCAAAAATAATGCAACGAATCCTCCTATGGTTCAAGTTCTAATAGACGGAAAAAAGGTCCCTTTTGATCAGATCAGTGTGTGAAAGTCCCTCTTTGGCGTCTGCTGCTGCATTGGAGTGCATAGCGTACAATGAAAGTGAAACTTGTATCGTATTTCGACGGATTCGTTGTTTTTACCCAATACACGCACAGCCCCTCCTATTATGGGGAGCACCAGTCCGGTTACTTATGCCCGGCAAGCATGGAGAAAGAATCGAAACAATGAAAGGAACCTTTTCGCGTTCACTTCCAAACAGAAGATGTGATGCCTTTCTCCATGGTATGGGCTATATCTTCAACTTTCCTGCCAGCTTACACTACGGTGCACCAAGGTCGTAATTACTTGCAGGAGTTCAAGGGTTTATACTTGGCGACCTGCTCTCTAGGGGACGACTTCCTTGGTCAGTCAATCAACCAGTTGATCAAACACCCAGCCATCCAGCCATCTGGGTCACCCAACCAAGGAACGAACTAGTAAATTGTTGAAGTGATCCGTCCTGTCATCAGTCAGTCAATCAGGAATCAGGCAATCAATCAATCATTGATATGACGATCCATCTTCCCTCATCAATCTATGAAACAACCATGAACCAATCAATCAACAAGCTAATCCATCAACCGCAATCGTCAGATGGACTAGCCAATCAATCAACGAACCGTCAAATCTACTAGCCGATCAATCAGCCAACCGTCTAATCAGCCAGCCAATCAACTGGTCAACAAAGCAACCATAAAGCAACCAACCAATCTATCCATCAATCAATAAGCCATCAACGTCCAAACCGTTAAACCGTCCATGAATAATCATTCAATCAATCATTTAATCAATCGATCTGTAAGGACCTGCCAAAACACGGACTGATAACACAGCTGATTTCTGAGTTTTGCCGCTGGAATGAATGCCTTGCTGAGATTCCCGCTTTTTGCTGAGCTTTCTAAGTCTGTGTGTGTGCGTGTTTGCTGGTCTGCGTGTGTGTCTGAGTGCTTGTCGACCTGAGTGTGTGTGTGGCCCGCCAAGGCACTCGTTTGTCTGGGAGGCCCGTAGGGCCGGTACTTACCTGTGGCCGTGACTTTGGGGTTGCAGCAGGGATAAACACTCAAGTGTCTGAAGGGGTAGCTTAGGGCACACTCATGTAGCGGTAGTGTAGGCCTGTAGGTAGTTGAGTAACGGTAGGCCGAGCAGAAGAAGACAAAAAGTTTGTATTTTTAGAGGCCCAGTAGCGGTAGGCTAGGTCTAGGCGGGTACCAGTCCAAGTAGCCTGAGTTTAGGGCCTGTACGTACGATATCAGAGTCTGCCATGATGTTTCCCTCCGAAAGGGAGGAGGTACCGGTTGCTTGGAGGCCGCATGGCCTGGAAGTCACCGCCCAAGAGGCAGGTTGGCCGCTATATCTTCAGGAGAGCAAAGAGCTCCTCCTCATTTGCTGTGTGTAAGTTTGGCCGTCACGCTGCCCCTGGAGGAGCGCAGTTTTCCAGCGCTGTGGGGGAGAGGAATGCCCAGCTCTCCACCTTGGCTATGGTGGAGGAGTTCGGGTAGGAGGAGGAGGAAGAAGGGTACTAGGAGAGGGGAGCGCCAGGGGCACTTACATGGCTGTGGTGGAGACACTTTCTTGTGAATTTGCGCTTCAAAATTGGCCAGGATCGCAACAAATCAATCCAATCAATCAATCAATCCGTCCATGATCAATCAATCAATCAATCAGTTAGGCAACTAATCAATGTCACAAAGTTACTATGATCATGGCCATCAGCATGTGTGATGACGCTCATTGGCAAGATCATTGCTGTACTGATCATTACAACTGTCGTGGCTGATCGACAAGAAGAGTTAGGCTGCTGAGACCTGGTTTGTGGTGAGGCTATCTGTGACCCTGTGAATAACAAGCAGCCAGGGAAGGAACGCGCAGAAGTGTGGGAGTGTGAGAGGGTGCATTTCTTCTGTCGCGAAAACGTTTTAATGCACCTACAACTCGAGAGCATACTTTTGTGGGTTCTCTGAAATACTAGGCGAAACCTTCTATGATGGTTCCCCTGCTCCCACCTGTGTAGGGCAGGTGGGCATGGGAGAAAGGGACTAGCTGAACAGGGCAAGCTCTCTTGTAGCCGCGCTAAATGGTGCCCGTTGCGAGCAGGGTTTTTTAACTTTTTTTTTCTTTTCTTTTGTATAGCATCATGGAACGTTGGCCCTGGTTGCCACTGAGTGCTGCCCCCCTCCAATTGGATACATTGAATGAATCTGATGTACAGACAGCCGCAACGATGGATGGGCAGCAAGGATTAGCGGAATGATGGATCGGGAGCTCAGATTGGGGGAACGGCGGATCGGGAGCTTAGATTGGGGGAACGGCGGATCGGGAGCTTAGATTGGGGGAACGGTGGATCGGGAGCTTAGATTAGGGGAATACAGCATGTATGTAGTATGTACTCTATTCGTTTGTCGGGGGGAAGGTGGCTGCGTTGTGGATCCATTAGATAGTGATCTTAGAATGCATGAAACACATGCTAGGGCTTTCGAAAACAAAAAAAAAGGCGGAGTATTTGCTGTCGTTTTCGGAGATACTGAAGCTATCATATCTCCAAATGGCATATACTGACTGCTCGGACATTTGCTGGGAGGACGAACCATTTGATCAGGCCTGTAATGATCCGAGAGTCACACCCGTCTGGAATCATTCGACATGCATGCATCTTCACACCAAACAAGGCAAGATTCACACGTTAAAAGACCATTACCTTTGCCATACATCAGCCCCACCAGTTTCGGAGGCCGGTAATGCAATGATGGCCGCCGATGAAATTTATCAACGGCGGCCCAGCGGTGGCCTGATCCCTGAAAAATGCTGTAAAGGCTATATTAGTATATTCCCACCTGGGACTCCAGCCTGAGAGGTAGTGGCGGTTGAAACCACCCCTACCTCCGCTCCTGTTTTCGCCGAACCTGAATTTCACTGCGCACCGAGTTTTCCCGAGCCTGCGTCCCATTGTATTTGATTTTCCTGGTACTCACGACCATTACATAAAAAAAGAACTAGAAGCAAAAAAAAAAAAGAACAAGAAGAAAAAAATTAAACTTCACTATCGCTGTGATAGCCATCAGATACATTCTAGGAGGTGCTGGTGAGATTGTGCCCTCAGTGAGGCCGTCTGCCCGATGGAAAACAATGAAGAACAGAAAGACAAACAACTTCCTTTATGCTGTAATTGTGGTCCGATGCAGGAGGCTAGAGTACTCGTGTGAGTATAACATGAGCGTGGCAGTTGGCTGCCCTGTGTGGATCCATCTGGCAGGGCACAAAAAGGCAACGAAAACAAGAAGAAAAAAAGAGAAAACATCTGCAATCACGTTCTTCACATACTGGGCAGATACATTCCTCAAAGCACTCGTGGTACTTCCACTTCCACCTCCGTGAGGGCCTTTGAAAACAAATGAAGAACAAAAAAGAAAAACTTCCTTAATGCTGTGATCGCGGTCCGATACAGGATGCTAAAGTGCTGGTGGGAGTAAAACATGAGCTAGTCAGTTAGCTGCACTGCGTGGAATCCACCCAGCCTCCCTGGCAGGGCACGAGAAGGAAAGGAAAAAAACAATAAAAGCAGAAACGGATTCGACAGCAATCACGTTCCCCACATACTGGCCAGATACATTCCTCGAAGCACTGGTGTGACTTCCGCCTCTGTGAGGGCCGTCCCCTACGTTGATGGATTCAAAGTTCTTAGGGTTTTTTTTTTTGTTTTTTGTTCTTATTTTCCCCTCACCGCAGGGCCACAGGGTCGTCTTTCGTGCTGACCCTACTCCGGACCCCCGAACTTCTCAGGTGAGATCATTTTCCCAAATAGGGCTACAGCTTGGAAAGGTAGTGGTGGTTTAAACTTTAAAGGGAAAACAAGGAAAAAAAGAAGAAAAAACGAACAAACTTGAAAATTATCAGCGACAGCAGGTCTCTCGAGGTCCGGCGGCTATGGCTCCAGTAACAGCAACAACACAAGCAGGTATGACTCTCTGTCTCTGTCTCTCTCTCTCTCTCAGGCCTCGTTTTTCCTCTCTGAATGTTTTCACCCTAGTCTCTCTGCGAACCCTTCTAACAACTTGACTTGGGGTGGCACTGACTCTTTTTCCTCCCTTGACTCTCCGTCCTTTGCTTTGTCCCTTCTTTCAGGCATCACATACGCTTTGATTTGTCCATTCTTTCAGGCATCACATACGCTAACGTAGACCTGGTCTGCCAGCTTGTTCCTAACAGTGTATCTTTTGGAGATTGCGGGGGCACTCGTACAGCATATGGACAGGGAGGACTTTCTTTTTCTTACCTTCCTCTTCTTGGTTGAGCAAGCAACACTCAACTTCTCCCATCGTCACATCTGCTTTTGCCGCCATTCCCCAATCCGTGTCTAGAACCATATCAAAGGGTAGGTTCTTTTCTATTTAGAAAGGTCCGAGAGTGTAACACTCTCTCCACTTTCTCTCTACCTTCCAACCAGAAGTGCATCTTCACCCCTTCAAGTATTGCCGCACACTCGTCAGAATATTGTTCGCCATTCTCGAAACTACTACCTTCTTCACCCAAATAGAATGCCCGGTCATTAAAGCTTTATTTGGGGCAACTTTCAGACCAGATGCGGCGATAATGATTGGGCGTTTTAATACGGTTTTATTCTTGTGAAGATGGTAGCTCTTCCAAATTTTGGACTTCCATTCCCACATGTAACTTTGCAATTGCTCTATGGGAGATATAGCTCCGAGTAAACCCACTATCTATCATAGCAACCTATTCTCCTCCTACTATCCTCTACATCCATTACCTCTACATCCACTATCACTAACTGCCCTGTTTTTTTCTTCTCCGTGGCCCTGAAGAGTGATCAGTTCCTGGCCTGTTCCTGTCAGGGGGCCCTCGAAGGGATCCTGCAACAAGTAACCTCTGGGCAGCTATCTGAGGGGTTGGCACTTCAACCTTTGCCTTGGCCTGCGAGTGGGAAGGTTTACATCCGAAGTATTGTTGGTTGTCCTGGTGTTGCTGCCACTCGAACTACCACAAGTTTGTCGGCTTCCTGCGCTGACCCCCCTTAAGCCCTGGATGTGGTGGGAACCTTCGCTCACCAGGGGGGCGCAATTCTGCCGCCTCCCCCTTTGCTGTGGCGGACACCAACCACCACCTCTACCTTGCGGTTGGGACCTTCCTTCACCACCTCTACCTTGTGGCCCTCACCTACGGCCCACAACGACAGCATCGTCCCCTCCCTGAGCATACCCGCGGTCGCCGTTGTCCTGTATGTCTATCTACCAGAGCTAACTGCGCCTCTCCTGTTTCAAAAGACACGAAGACATGGCCCGTGGCCTTAGAATTACTAACAACTGTTTTAACCCTTAAAAGTACTACCCTTTTCCTGATCAAAGTAGAGAGGAAGAAAGCGCAGTTGTTGCAGACACGAAAGCACTTACCTGCATGGAGTGATCGTCGTTCAGTCGGTGTCGTACATGTGTGTACATGTGAAAGGAGAGGCTGTCCGGTTGACTTGCCCATGCCCACTTCTTTAAATGATCTTACAGGCCACCCATAAATAAACAGCTTCCTTGCTTGCATGGCAGGTTGGGTTTGCTCTCCATCCGTTGACCTACGAACCTATGCTCAGCCCTTCGTTCAACTGACATCTTGTCCCCCAAGGAGGACAATCTTATTCTTCTCATCTACCCATCCATGAAATGACAGTCCACCCCTAAAGGAGTACACCCCTACTTTTCTCCCCCACCTATCCATGTATCTAATGCTAGCCACCATGAAGATCAATCGTCACATGCTCCACGTGACCAATCAAAAAGCTCTTGATGGCTATGCTTTTGATGGTGAAGATAATGGCTCCCGTCCTGATGGCTATCGAAAGACGAGGGTAATGACTCCCGGTTGCTATCCAAATCAAAGCCTGATAGTAAATTCACAATCTTACGTTCACACTTGGACTAGGTTTGATGTAAGTTATGTGACAAACTACTGTGGACATGCACAAAAGCCAATGAACTCCCAAAAGAGTGAACCAACAACTGGATGGATGCCCAGTTGGTTTGCCTGCATGTGGTGCATCGTATGGATTGAATGAACCACATGGTCCCAGTGCAAGCCTCCGAGCGCAAAGGAATAAACGGCACTTTTTGTGGAGTTCGTGCATTGATCAATCAATCGGCCATGAACACACACCCTTCCATGCCCATGCAATCTCTAGATCTATACCGTAACACCACTAACCAGCACTACTCTGAGCACATAGTATTACGATCTCTCAGTGTCGTCCAACAGTGATCCCCAGGCTTGCTCCTCTACGTGGTCTGCTCGGTGGGGCAATCAATTGTCTCAGTGGGAGACATACACAGTCATCACACCCCTCCAACCATGCAGGCGAGGAGTTTCGTGCTTGACATGGTTAAGTGCCTTAGCATCGATGTTAGCTTCACATGGTAGGATTGCAGGCCATTGATTTTATGGTAAGAGTCCTTTTTCTCCCCAGTGAATCTCTGCTTTTGGACTTCTGCTCGCTTGCAACACACCGTGCACGATAATATATTAATATCCTTACTGATGTCGAAATCTCGATGTCTTTGATATTTTTTTTGTGCAGATCGGTGGCCCAGACCATCATAGAATATTCAATGTTGTAAAGTTGTAAACACATGGTCGTAGGAAGCTAGCGGGGTCACAATGATGTACGAGATTTGGGAAGTATGGTAGCATTGCGTAGAAGTGAGGGCAGCCCACGCTGTTCATGCCGACGAGGAAAGATGCTTCAATCAAAAGGCTGTTCTCCAGATAGCAAGAGGCTCAATTTTCCGTCAAAATGCGTAAGCTTCTGGAAGGATGCAACAGAAGACGAGAGCACGGAAATGTATTGAATGGAGAGCGATAAAGCATCAGAAAGAGTAATGCCTGCACATGGTTTGGATCTCTGCTGATATCCTTGGGGATAAAAGAAGTTGAAGAGCCTCGTTTCTCCTATACACGTTTTTACATGTGAAGACATGATCAGTATCAGTGTCCCTCTCTCCTACTCAAGGAGAACGCTCTGTCCAATGGATGTGTCCAATTTGTGTCCCAGCCTGCCTTCCAATGGATGGTGCACCAGGGTGACAGCCTTTGCAGTGGTATGCAGAAGTGGCCATAAGGCTATGTTTCCTGCTTGACAAGAGTAGAAGTGGCGGAAAAAGGAGACAACTCATGGAAGGGGGGGAGAATCCGAAAAATTAGTAACTCAAAGATCTGAGCTGCCAGAGATGAAGTAGTGGTGAATGTGTGACGGCAATCGCGCAGAGATGCAATCAGTCTGCTAGGAAATGTGTTTGACACTGTGAATTCCTACCCACCCTCTTTTTTTTTGGAAGGGGGGGGGGGGGGGGGGGGGGGGGGG